TCCATAATAATGAAAGAATTGGGTGGTTTTGACTCGTTTACACGAAGCAGGAGGCGTTTCAATATTTTCCCGTAGGCTTGCAATGTAAAGGTCACGAGTCTGGCCTGACCTCAGGTCACAGATATAAAAATTCTGAGATATACAAACTGCACATACTGGTACCCTAACTAGAACTTGAAGAGAAGAAATCGATAAGTCAAAAATTCTAGCTCTGGCGTGATTGCAAACTTTTCCTGAGGTGGGGTCAACAAATCGCCTCTGGTGACCTGACCTGACCTGACCCGGCAACTTTTTTTTGTCAAAATGTGCGCAATGAATGTTTAGAAAAAGTCAACGAGTATGAGGCGTTTGCGGCGTTTGGCAATGGCACAAGAAAAACCTGAAGGAGGGGGGGGGGGTCTTAAAGGCCCCCCGCCCGGAATAGGGTTAAAATTAGCCCTATGGGCGTTGCATGGAAAGAATGGGACCAAAAGTCGGCAGTGCCCCCCCCTTAATTGAAAGTGTTCCGCCGCTACTGCTTTTAACTGTCAGTGTATGCACCTGGCAGTGTCTGCTTTTTTAACAAGTCCTACCTGATTTGGTCTTTTCTGTGAGTGGACACTGAACACTGGGCAGCGGACAGCCCCTAGTACTGACGCCTTTTAAGTGTCGCCGGACGTAGGTCACATTCCCCCATAATTTGTGGCGACTTCATGAGAAACATGGCACCTTCCGCGCCTAAATATATTGCGCTGCTTACCCATGTACATACCTACTCATTCAGAGTAATGCACGCTATTTCGTTTACCCACAAGTTTAGACAGTCGCGTGGAGCTTTATAAACGTCTTTTTATGCCTATTTTTTTGATAATCGGGTCGTTCGTTCACTTCCCGTGGCCTGGGACGATGGCGCTGATAAAGCAGCTCACGATGAATGGAGCTCGTTACGCAATACGATTAGACCATTAGGTACAATTAAATCTCATGGTAAGTGTGTAGTCTTTTTTTTTTGCGCAACGCGTAGCCGGGCAGAGAAACGACAAAGGCAGCGTCAGTTTTTGTGACTGGCAACTGAATGCTGTTAAAGCAAGCCCATCGGCTCAAATGAAAAGGTCGCGATATTTGGCCGCCGGCCGGTGCACCTGTAGCGCGGTGTGGCTCCGCCAAAGGTCACCGCCGTCACCTGTCCCCCACCCCGTGACCCTGTCTCCGTCCCCCCCCCGTGACCCGGGCCGCGGGACGCCAGCTGCTGGACGGCACACGGCAGCCGCGGCCAGACAGCGGCAGGGGCGACCAGAGAACCACGAGCGCTCAGCAGACGGCCAGGAGCGATCAACAGACCCAGAGCGCTCAGCGGACGGCCAGGAGCGATCAGCGGACAGCCAGGGGCGACCAGCAGGCCCAGAGTGCTCAGGGGACGGTCAGGAGGGCTCAGCAGATCCAGAGTGCTAGCAGCAGACGATTAGGAAAGCTCAACGCACCCCGCAACACCTGGTGATACAGCCCGGTAACTTTGGCAGCAGCAGCGCTCAGCACACCTGGTAGCGCTCAGCAGACCAAGGACCGCTCAGTATGACCAGAGAGCGCTCAGCAGATCTGCAGGAGCGCTCAGCGGAGCTGCCAGGTGCGCTCTCTGGAGCGGCGTGTTTTTATTGTCGATCGGAATACGGGCTGCGGCCGCGGGTATTAGCGGTTCGACCGTCCGGAAAATCCCAGCCGGCTGCAGTCGCCGGGCGGGCGGCGGCCGTCTCGCCGCTCTCTGCGGACCGCAGGGCGCGCGGCTGTAGTGCGGCTGCAGCACGGCGGCGCCCGATGCTCGCCGGCCTCCGGCAGCCAGTCCGGGCTCCCACATGACCCACAGCGCCGCCCGACCCCAGCCGCTCGGAACAGTCCGGGCTCCCACCTGACCCACAGCGCCGCCCGACCCCAGCCGTTCGGAACAGTCCGGGCTCCCACCTGACCCACAGCGCCGCCCGACCCCAGCCGCTCGGAACAGTCCGGGCTCCCACTCTAACCCACAGCGCCGCCCGACCCCAGCCGCTCGGAACAGTCCGGGCTCACACTCTAACCCACAGCGCCGCCCGACCCCAGCCGTTCGGAACAGTCCGGGCTCCCACCTGACCCACAGCGCCGCCCGACCCCAGCCGCTCGGAACAGTCCGGGCTCCCACATGACCCACAGCGCCGCCCGACCCCAGCCGTTCGGAACAGTCCGGGCTCCCACCTGACCCACAGCGCCGCCCGACCCCAGCCGCTCGGAACAGTCCGGGCTCCCACCTGACCCACAGCGCCGCCCGACCCCAGCCGCTCGGAACAGTCCGGGCTCCCACCTGACCCACAGCGCCGCCCGACCCCAGCCGCTCGGAACAGTCCGGGCTCCCACCTGACCCACAGCGCCGCCCGACCCCAGCCGCTCGGAACAGTCCGGGCTCCCACCTGACCCACAGCGCCGCCCGACCCCAGCCGCTCGGAACAGTCCGGGCTCCCACATGACCCACAGCGCCGCCCGACCCCAGCCGCTCGGAACAGTCCGGGCTCCCACCTGACCCACAGCGCCGCCCGACCCCAGCCGCTCGGAACAGTCCGGGCTCCCACCTGACCCACAGCGCCGCCCGACCCCAGCCGCTCGGAACAGTCCGGGCTCCCACCTGACCCACAGCGCCGCCCGACCCCAGCCGTTCGGAACAGTCCGGGCTCACACTCTAACCCACAGCGCCGCCCGACCCCAGCCGCTCGGAACAGTCCGGGCTCCCACCTGACCCACAGCGCCGCCCGACCCCAGCCGCTCGGAACAGTCCGGGCTCCCACCTGACCCACAGCGCCGCCCGACCCCAGCCGCTCGGAACAGTCCGGGCTCACACTCTAACCCACAGCGCCGCCCGACCCCAGCCGCTCGGAACAGTCCGGGCTCCCACCTGACCCACAGCGCCGCCCGACCCCAGCCGTTCGGAACAGTCCGGGCTCCCACATGACCCACAGCGCCGCCCGACCCCAGCCGTTCGGAACAGTCCGGGCTCCCACATGACCCACAGCGCCGCCCGACCCCAGCCGCTCGGAACAGTCCGGGCTCCCACCTGACCCACAGCGCCGCCCGACCCCAGCCGTTCGGAACAGTCCGGGCTCACACTCTAACCCACAGCGCCGCCCGACCCCAGCCGCTCGGAACAGTCCGGGCTCCCACCTGACCCACAGCGCCGCCCGACCCCAGCCGTTCGGAACAGTCCGGGCTCCCACCTGACCCACAGCGCCGCCCGACCCCAGCCGTTCGGAACAGTCCGGGCTCACACTCTAACCCACAGCGCCGCCCGACCCCAGCCGTTCGGAACAGTCCGGGCTCCCACATGACCCACAGCGCCGCCCGACCCCAGCCGTTCGGAACAGTCCGGGCTCCCACATGACCCACAGCGCCGCCCGACCCCAGCCGTTCGGAACAGTCCGGGCTCCCACATGACCCACAGCGCCGCCCGACCCCAGCCGCTCGGAACCCGGCCTCCAGGAAAACGGGCCCGCACCGGACCTCCGAGACACCGGCGGGCAAGGCCACAACCACCCCGCAAACCAGTACATGGCCTGCACCGTGCCGCCATCCGCTTCCGGCACGCAGACCTCGGAGGACCCGCCACCACTGACGGCGGGTGAAATCGTCCGAGTTCCCCCTCCTTCCTCCAGCAGCGTCTCACCCGCTAACCTACTCACATTCCCCGGGTCGCGAGTGCTGCAGCACCGGCACCCTGTCCCCCCGAGTCGCCACTTCTCACGGGCTGATCACGGTCCGGCCGGACTGAGGACGGTCTAAGCACGGTCCGAGAGCCCACTGAAATCGGACTGAAAACGGACTGAGGACGGACTGAGCACGGACTGAGAGCTCACTAAAATCGGAACGAGAGCTCACTTAGAACGGACTGAGGATGGACTGAGGACGGACTGAGGATGGACTGAGGATGGACTGAGTGGGGACTGACCTCGGACTGAGGACGGAGTAAGGACAGACTGAGGACGGACTGATGATATACTGAGGGGCTGAGGGCGGACTAAGTGCGGACTGACCTCGGACTGAGGATATACTGACCTCGGACTAAGTGCGGACTGAGGACGGACTGAGGATATACTGAGGGGCTGAGGGCGGACTAAGTGCGGACTGACCTCGGACTGAGGATATACTGACCTCGGATTGAGGACAGAGTAAGGACGGACTGAGGGTAGACTGAGGGCGGACTGAGTGCGGACTGACCTCGGACTGAGGACATACTGAGGGGCTGAGGGCGGATTGAGTGCGCAGACTGCCCTCGAACTGAGGACGGACTGAGGACGGACTGAGGGGCTGAGGGCGGACTAAGTGCGGACTGCGGACGGGCTGAGGATAGACTGAGGGACTGAGGACGGAGTAAGGACAGACTGAGGACGGACTGATGATATACTGAGGGGCTGAGGGCGGACTAAGTGCGGACTGACCTCGGACTGAGGATATACTGACCTCGGACTAAGTGCGGACTGAGGACGGACTGAGGATATACTGAGGGGCTGAGGGCGGACTAAGTGCGGACTGACCTCGGACTGAGGATATACTGACCTCGGACTAAGTGCGGACTGAGGATATACTGAGGGGCTGAGGGCGGACTGAGTGCGGACTGACCTCGGACTGAGGGCATACTAAGGGGCCAAGGGCGGACTGAGTGCGGACTGCCCTCGGACTGAGGATATACTGAGGGGCTGAGGGCGGACTGAGTGCGGACTGAGGACATACTGAGGGACTGAGGGCGGACTGAGTGCGCGGACTGCCCTCGGACTGAGGACGGACTGAGGACGGACTGAGGATATACTGAGGATAGTCCGGGGAAGGAAAGCTGTGCTAACAGCCGGCGTAGAGTCCTAGTGGGATCCGCGTCTGCTTGTAGTCAGCGCCGGTAAAATCGTAAGACCATACACAGATAACGCTCACACGCACCGTTCGTTTCACAGCCAATCCTGTCGACTCCTTTCACCAGCGCCTTCCCCACTATCGGCCACAGGCTGCCAGCGTGCTAGAATGTGATGTTATATTTGTATCATCTTACAGTAGTTGGCTCACACCAACGAAACAACGGGCGGCCCGTCCCACGACACAGCAGGGAGCGAGCCGAGACCGGCGACCCGGCCGAGGTCAGGTCACGGCCAGCCGCACAACCCACATGAGATAAGCCCAGATGATCACAACCAGTTGGGGCGCGGCGCGGCGGACACAGCCGAATATCGGCTCCATCGCCGCCGCGCGGCGCAGATAAGGTTTGTGTGTATGTGCGTGTGTGTGCACATTCATTGTAGCGACGTGCACATACAGCTCTCTGAATCTCTCCCTCTCTCAAAGCAACTTATTGACTAGACAACACACTCGGGGTGAGGTAAACGAAGTCCACTGATAAAACGGTGAGCCAACGCAGCTCTGACTCAAAACACGCTCAACGCAACAACGTCCGGTGGCGGCCGCTCCGACCGGCCATCACACAGCACTGGACGGGATCCCGCTCCGACCGGCCCCACACAGCACTGGACGGCTCACACCTCCGTCGGCCGTCACCGGCGCAGCAGCACCCACAGGGCGGCGGCGGCTGCCAGCAGGGGCGCGGCGGCCGCCGGCCGGCCCGGCGCGCCGCCGACCGGCGACCCCAGCCGAGTCCGGTTGGGCAGCTGGCGCAGCGCCTGCGGCAGCAGCCGCTCCAGGTCGCGCTGCGCCTCGCGCGCCGCCTCCATGAAGGCTGTCTTGCCCGTGGAGAGGGCGTCGAACACGCACGCGTCCAGGTAGGGTCCGATGACGCGGTTTTGTCGACACATGTCGGTGACCAGCTCGGCGGTGAGCACCACCGGCCGGCCGGCGTGCACGGCGTCCACGCGGCCCACTGAGCTCAGCACGCGCCGGTAGTCGACGCGCTCGCGCTGCAGGCAGCCGCGGCTGCAGAGCTGCAGGCCGCGGCGCGCCTCGGGCTGTTCGGCCAGCTCGCGCGGCAGCCGGGCAGAGAAGGACAGGTGGCCGGCCACCCGGCGGATCTCCAGCGTGGCGTTGATGTGGCGCACCGTGATGGCCACGTGCAGACCCGGCACCAGCGTGGTGACGGCCGCGCTGTGCTGCGAGCGCGCGCCAGACGACACCGCGCCGTCGACGAAGGCGCGCGGCAGCGACTCGTTGGCGCGTGCCTCGTACGTCAGCTGGCCCGTGCACGGCTCGTTGTGTTTGACGATCACCGTCAGCTGGAACAGAGAGAGGGTGAGGGTCACTGTCAGCCGGAACAGAGAGAGAGAGAGGGTGAGAGGATCACTGTCAGCCGGAACAGAGAGAGGGAGAGGGTCACTGTCAGCCGGAACAGAGAGAGGGAGAGGGTCACTGTCAGCCGGAACAGAAGAGGGAGAGGGTCACTGTCAGACAGATCACCTCAGAGTGATCACCGACACGGGTCACAGTCAGCTGGAACAGAGCGAGCAAAGGTCACTGTCAACTGGAACAGAGAGAGAAAGAGGGTCACTGTAGCTGGAACAGAGAGAGAAAGATGGTTACTGTCGGACGGGTCACCTCAGAAAGATCACCGACATGTCACTGCCAGCTGGAACAGAGAGGACGAGGGTCAGTGAGGTCACTGTCAGACAGCGCTCAGAGAGCGGCCAGAGAACGGTCACGGTCAGAGGGAGGACCTAGACAGTTGAGACCAGACGGAGCGCGGTCCCAGACGGAGCGCGGTCCCAGACAGCGCCGGGCCGGCTGACGACCACCGAGCCACGTCGCGGAGTAACACAGAAGGCGCCGAGCCCCATTGGATGCCACCGGCGCGACGGACGGCTGCACGGCACGAATGTCGAGCATGGCACGGCAGCGGAGGACGGCCAGACATGACAGGAGCCGCGCCAGGGACGCCGCCGGCCGGCCGGAGCAGCGCCGCCGGGCCACACCAGGGCCGCACCACGGCCATACCGGAGTTCCCAGCCAGAGAAGGGCTGCCGGTATCACCGAGCTCTGTCAGCCGGCGATGGATGTAAAGGGTCGGTCCAGCGTCTGCAAGGGACCGTTCCGAGTTCCGACCCGACTGCCGTACCGAGCGGCAGACCACGGCGAACAGCGCCAGACTCGGGACCATCACTGGGACCCGGGACCATCAGTGAGACCCAGACTTGCCTGTGAGAGATCCGGGACCGTCGATGAGGCCCGCGACCGACCAGGGTCCGTCTGTGGACCGCAAAGACCATCTGTCAGAGCCGGGATCGGCTGTGAGAGGTCCGCGAACATCACTGATACCTGGGACCAGTTGTGAGCTGCCTCGGGACAGACCTGTGGGTCCAGAGACTATCCATGGACCGTCTGTGGGCCCAGGAACCGCCTGCGGGCCCAGGGACCCACTGTGGGTTCGGGGATCGTTTGTGGGTCCGGCGGGACCGTCCGCACCCGGCGCTCCGAGGCCGGCCGAGCGGCGAGCCTGGATTCAGCCTGGATTGGCCAGTGGCCACGGGCATTGCGGGAAGAGGCCGCTTTCGAATGATGCGGGCTACATGGCAGTGGGAGCGAACGCGACAAAATAGAAACACCAGGGCTGATAGGAGCGGAGTGTTCGGGCGGAGGGGTCGGCCAGCGCGGCTGGGGAGGTGACGGTGGCGCTAGCTGCCGGCTCGGTCCTCCCTCCCGAGGGAGCGCCCCACTATCACTGCACAGTGCACGCCGCAGCTCTGCCGTGCATGGCTGCCGATGGCGGGCCGGGCCCATGCCGTCAGCGGCCGGCCGGCACAGACAGCGTGACGCCGTCACGGGGGCGCTACAGACCGTGACGGCGTCCGCGCGTCACGGCCGGCCCGCCTGCCCGCTCAATGTCGCCGGCCGGGGCGGCAACGCGAGCACGGCAGACCGCGCGCGCGACCGGCGCCGCCAGGCCGGCAGCGATCACAGTCAACACGCGTGATGAACCCAGTCGGCCGGCTCTGACCGACATTCTAGAAGCAACACTTTCTGTTGACACGATAACCAATGAATAAGAAGTAAAAATACGTAGGCGCTCTTCGATAATTTCATATAGACGCCCAACATATAAAACAGCCAACTATAGAGGCCAAATTTGGAGCTCGAAATAAAAAGCATGACGAATGTTTCGGTTCTAATCAGGTCAGCTCGACTGAGGTCCGTTTCTCACTAACTGGCTGTACTCGACACAAAAGGCCGGGGCCATCCGCGGCCGAATGGCTCCGGTCTGCGCCGTGCCGAGGTGTCAGGGCAGACAGGAACACGACACCCACAAAAACCTGGCCGGGCCGGCCCTCCCTCCGGTCTCTCGGCCGCCACAAAAAGGCCGACGGCGGCGGCCGCGCGGCGAGTACTGACCTTAGTGGGCGCCGTGGCGCACTCGTCGCTGCCCACGCGGCTGTTGGTGACCTGGGCGGCCAGGTAGGCGTTGTCCAGCAGCGGCCAGGCGCCCAGCAGCCGGCACGTCTGGAACTCGCCGCCGAAGGTGCGCACGTGCGGGTCGCCGAACAGGCTGCACACCACCGGCTCGGCGGCGGCGGCGGCGCGGTACGAGCACACAGAGTCATCGAGCGGCGCCGGTACCGTCGGCGGCGGCGGCGGCGGAGGCGCGCGCGTCACAGGCGGCGCCGCCGCCGCCTCGGCCAGGATGCGACGGCAGTCGTACTTGCGGAACGTGCGCTCCACGATGCCCATGTTGGTGTGGAAGTAGAGGTGGCCGCGGCAGGCGCGCTTCGTCTTGCGCATGCAGTCGCTGAAGGCGCCGAGCAGGCGGCACGTGTTTGGCTCGGGCCGCTCCACCAGCTGTAGACGCTCCCGGCTGCGCTCGTACTCCCGGCTACAGTGCTCCGAGCGGCACTCGCCAGCCGCTGCAACAGAGAGAGAGAGCCGGCCGTCAGAGCGGGACATGGGCCAGATACAGAGACACGCACATACTCGTACATGACGTGTACGGCTGTCTGCAGAGACAGCCGACCGTCAGAGCGGGGCACAGACAGAGACACGGACAGACACACGGAGAGATCAGAGATGGAGAGACGTCGGAGAGACACGGGGTGGCACCAGAGACATATCCAGGTCTATCAGAGACGCAGGGAGACAACACAGAGATATCAAATATAACTATATCAGAGACACATGAAGAAGGGACTAAATAAGGAGAGATTAAGGGACAGACAGGCGGGGGGTGGCGACTGAGCGCAGTGCGTCTCCCCGGTCACGCACGGTCCCAGTGAGACTCACACACGGTCCGTGCGACCGATGCTGGCCTCGGTGCCCGGCCGGCGCCCTGCGACCAACAACAGGCGCTGGACCCTCGCGGAAACTCGCCCCTCAGCCAACAGACGCCAGTCGGCAAACAGGCTACCAGCCGGCTCAGCCAGCCGCTTTGTATCCGATCCCTCCACACACGGACAGACGGACGGGCGGGCACACAAACACACCGGGCTGCTGAACCAGCGCGGCGCAGCTGAGTGGACACAGTGCGTCCCATGGCCGCGGGCAGGGGTCGGCGGGGACACCGCCTCCCCACTGCCACAGCCGCCGCGCTCAGCTCAGCCGTCACCGCGGCACGGCACGGCACGGCGGCGCCCGGCCGGCCGGCCTGCCCAGACCAGCCGGCTATTCCTGGTGTGGGTCACACGCGGACACGGCGGCGGGCGGCGGGCGGGCCGTGACGCGGCACCGGCGGCCAGGACGGCTGCCAGGCGTCCCAGACAGTCTGCCGGCCACCTGACCAGCACAGCCGACACAGTCTGCCGGCCGGCCACCCGCCGACACAGTCTGCCAGCCGGCCACCCGCCGACACAGTCTGCCAGCCGGCCACCCGTCGACACAGTCTGCCAGCCGGCCACCCGTCGACACAGTCTGCCAGCCGGCCATCCGCCGACACAGTCTGCCAGCCGGCCATCCGTCGACACAGTCGGCCGGCCGGAGCAAACGCCAGGCCCCTCCCAACGAACGCCAGGTCGGCAGGTCCACCGAACATATAGCCACTATTGCAACTTCATCACCAAACGAGCTTATCTCAACCGACTAGCTCCGGGAGGACGACCGACAGATGTGCGTTCGGGGGACAGAGAGTCGATCAGGTCATAGTCAATCAGCAGATCGTCGATCAGCAGTCGGCACGGGCCGTAAGTCCTGCAACCTTGACTTTGGGCGGCAGCCGCGGTACCCGTAGTCCTGGGCCCGGTCGGCGCGGTCACCCCTTACCCCCCCCCCCCCCCCCCCCACCCAAGATTCGAGCGGCGCAGTCGCTCCTCTAAGTACCACTGGATTCGGCCAGCGCCTCTCTGTCGACCGTTAAACGCGCCCTAACGACCGGCGCTTTACGATTTTCTTCCACGGTCTTTTAGGCGGTGGACGGGCAGCTGGTAAATTGTACCAGAGGAACCCGGCTGTAACCTTTCATTGGCGCAAAACACGGCGGAGAGATGGTGAGGCGATAGGGGACGCGCGTGTAGCGTCACATCTCAATACAGCACGCCCGGCCGGCGCCACACAATGCCTTTGTTCAGTGACCAGCAATGCGTGCCATTGTGAGGCACGAAACGGATCAGATTCCTACAAATAGGGCGCAGTTGGGCTCTGTGGCTTCCAGGGAACACGATGTTTTCAAACGTTTGACACAACAACATCGGAGCCAGTTTCGTATAATTTCCCTCATTACTGCACCATAAGGCTAACAGACGTGTGATGCGACAAAAATTGTGATCCAACAAACGCTGTAACACGACACGCACGCTCATATCAGCACACTCGATCGCCATTGTTGACACCCAATGTTGCTCGGTTACCGAGCACGAGCTGTCACTGCGACCGACACCCGTCTCTCGGCGGTCACTGCAACACCCACCGTCCGGCGGTCACTGCGACACCCACCGTCCGAGGTCACTGCGACCGACACCCACCGTCCGGCGGTCACTGCGACCGACATCCACCGTCCGACGGTCACTGCGACCGACATCTATTGTCCGGCGGTCACTGCGACCGACACCCACCGTCCGACGGTCACTGCAACCGACACCCACCGTCCGGCGGTCACTGCAACCGACATCTAGGTGTTGTCCGGCGGTCACTGCGACACCCACCGTCCGGCGGTCACTGCGACCGACATCCACCGTCCGGCGGTCACTGCGACCGACACCCGTGTCCGTCCGGCGGCCCCAATCACTGCCAGAGAGACCCCCCGTCCGACGGCACGGCCCATCCACATACCACCGCGGAACGGCGGCCCACGGTAGCCGGTGACCTGTCCGGTCCGCGGGTGTGACCTCAGGTCACCGCTCACCAGTGACCCCGCCTCCCGCCGCCTCCTCCGCAGTCCGGCGCCGCCAGACCCGCGCGTCATTGGTATCATGTCAATTAGGACGACCAGAGCGGCAGCGACGCGAGGCCGGCGCGCTCGGCCCGGCTGGCCGACGGACCAGTTTTTGCCGCCGACGACGCGGGCCGCACACAGAGTCGCGCTGCCGGCACCGGGCCGCCGCGGCCGCCGGGTCACCTGCCTGGCCAAGCCGGCCAGATACGGGGCACGGCCAAACATGGAGCGGGCCGGCCCACTGCGGGGCAGCTCTCCGGACCGCGGCCGGCCTGCACTGCTCACAGTTTCCCCGCCGCGCGGCCCGAGCGGTTCTGCCCAGCCCGGCGGGCTGCTACGACCGGGCCGGGCGCGCCGTGCACCCACTGATACCTGCCGTCACAGCTGCCACAGACCACAGCTCAGGCCACGCCCAGGTGGCCCGAGCGGTCCCACCGCGGTCCAGTCGGTCCCACCGCAGCCCAGTCGGTCCCACCGCGGTCCAGTCGGTCCCACCGCAGCCCAGTCGGTCCCACCGCGCTCAGCGGCTCAGCTCAGACCGAGGATCACCGTCCGAGCAAACAGCGGCGGCCGGCAGGTATTCGGATCCAGTCACAGGTGCAGACCGGGCTGTATGGTGACCGTGATCGTACCCCCGAGCCAGGGTAACCGGTCCCAGAGACACAAGGGTTCCTTGGTAGATCTGTCTTTCGAAGCCACGCCCCTCTGCAGATCTATCTATCTAAGCCACGCCGCTCTGTAGATCTGTATGTCGGAGCCACTCCCCTCTACAGATCTGTCCGTCGGACACACACCCCTTAACGGATCTCTGGATCTAAGTCACACCCCTCCACAGATATGTTCGTAGGAGCCACGCCCCTCTGAAGTCTGTCCGTCGGAGCCACGCCCCTCAGTAGCATTATCCATCGGAGCCACGCCCCTTAGTAAATCTGTCCATTGGAGCCACGCCCCTCTGAAGATCTGTCTATCTGAGCCACGCCCCTCTATAGATCTATCTATCTGAGCCACGCCCCTCTGTATATAGGTCCGTCGGAGCCACGCCCCCCCCCCCGGGTACCTAGTCTGTCCGTATGGGCCACGCCCCTCTACAGGTCTGTCCGTCGGAGCCACGCCCCATAGTAGATCTGTCGTTTGAAGGTATCTGCTAGCCGGCACCGCTCTCACTCACTGCGCGCGCGAGCCTTCTCCGACTCTCAGTCTCTCGCTCCCCTCCCCCTCTATCTCCGTCGGTGGGTCGGGAGCAGCTGGGGTGGGGTGAGGGAGGGGGAGGTGTCCCGCTGCAGACAGCGGGACGGCGGGATCGGGTCGATATACAGTACACACCCGCCCCGCCCCGCCCCAGTGCCGGCCGGCTGGCTCCCACACACCAGCTGGGCCGATCAGGATCGCAGTAGATTAGGCACGGCTGGCGGCGCCGCCTAATTTCACGTGCACATTCTGTTTAGATTTGGAGGGAGCGAGCGGAGATGTGACGCGGGCTGTTAACTTAATGGGACATGCAGGGAGCAGCACGATGACTTTTAGAATCTTACTTGCACAAGGGCAGCTGATTAATGCAGCCCTAGTGTCGTTAATGAGCTATACCCAAATAACACCGTGGGCATCCGTCTTACCGCGATTATTATGATGAATTGGTTATGTGCGCCAGTTTGTGTTTGCAGCTTCCCGTTTATTTAATGTTTGGGTTTGCAGCTCCATAATACCTCATTTGTCATCAGTTGGTTGTATGGCTACGGCGTGCTGGCCCACGTCAGACTCGGAGCGACATCAGCTCAGCGGACGGAGCTGGGAGCTCTCCACACCGGACGGGGGTGGGAGCTCTCCGCACCGGGCGAGCCGGGAGCTCTCCACACCGGACGGAGGTGGGAGCTCTCCGCACCGGACGGGGGTGGGAGCTCTCTGCACCGGACGGAGCCCGGAGCTCTCCACACCGGGCGAGCCGGGAGGCGGCTGCACTCTCTTCCATTAGTGCCGCTCCTCCGCCCTGCCCGAACGCCGTGTTGTACTGGCAGCGAAGTCCGCCCGGTCGCTCAGCGGCTGTAGCTGGCAGCGGGGCCCGCCCGGTCGCTCAATGGCAACGGGTTCGCCCGGCCGCCCAGCGCCTGCATTGTGGCTGCCAGCAGCGGCGGCCGGCCCGCGGCGCAGGCCTGGCTGCAGCCGGCGCCTCCAGTCGGACAGCGTTCGTGGAACGGCGCCGGTAAAACTTACTATCCAAGTATGCGGCGGGCCGGCGCCGCTGCACCTGCGGTCAGCCCGCAGCCGGGCCGCTGGACGGCGGCGCATTTTTGGCGGCGCCGCGTCCTCGCAGCGCCCGAGTCCGTCATGCGAACGGCGCGCCGGCGACAAAAATGGCGCGGCCGAGCCGCCGCGCCGGCGGCCGGTCCGGTGGCCGGCCAGTCCGAGTCGCCACTGGCCGCGGCCCGCCCGGCGCCCGGCGCTCCATCGGCCCGCTCCGGCGCAATCGACTCTCGTTGCAGCCTGCTCCCAGTTTGCCGGCGAGACAGCGAGTCGACCTCGGGCCACGGTCGGCATCAATCAGGGCGCTGG